GGGGAGCAGCTCCGGCCTTCGGTGCCACCGACTGTGCAGCCAGCCCCCAGCCCCCAGCCCCCAGCCCCCAGTTCAGCAGCACAGCTTGGCCCTAGGCAGCCTGCTTGTTTCCTGCTTCTGGTGGGGAAGGGGAGGCCTAACGCCTTTTACGTAAAACTGACTGGTTTGGGGGAGTGGGGAGAGCCACAGGCCTCTGGTTTCTATCTCCCTTTATGGGAAAGGAGCCGAGAGCCCTGAAGCTGGTTTTTCTGTTTACTGTGGACCCAGAGCCACTTCCTCTCTTAGCCTTTGGTTTATATTATTCCTGATCCACACTTTGATAGCCAAAACAATGATTCCCTGACTTTTTATGGCTCTTTTACTTTTTAAAGTGCTCTCCATTAATCAGCCCTTCCCTCAGCCCTGGAAGTAGACAGGATATGTACATGTTCCCCAGGTTAGAGAAGGAGCAAACGAGGCTGGGGAGAGCTAGGACTTGCCAGGGTCACACCAGCTGATGAGGGCCGGCTCTGCATTTAGCAAGCTCAGCACCGGGCCAGCTGTGCACAGTGCACAGCACTGAGCCCTGGCCCCTCAGAACAAACACAGGCTTCATCCCCGAGGAGCTGCAGGCCAGTGAGTGCATTCAGCAAGGTTATTTTCACCCTGGAACTCACAGGATCACTCTGGATTCAGTTCCTTTTCAGAAACCTTTATTCCTGTGCTGCTTCCTCTATTTCTACTGGCTCGTTTCCCCCAGCAAGGAGAGAGTCTGGGTCAGGGGACTGTGGTTGGAGAGGAAATGAAACTCTGTCCTCCCCAGAGAGAGACAAGCCTGAAGGGTGGGTGCAGGGCTGGAAGTCAAGGACTGAGGATGTGAACTAGCATCTTCCCCTCACCAATTTAGGTCTAGAGATGTCTAGAGAGGTGTTTGGGGATTTAAAAAAAAAAAAATCCATGAAGAGGGGAAGAAGCATTTGGGGTGCAAAGAGCTAACCAGGGTGCAGGCCAGGAATAGAACTGAGGACACAGAAGCTCGGTGCAACCCTCACGTCTACACTAATGTATTTCCATGATCTTGCCTAACTACCAAAACCAGCTCCCCTGAGATCCCCACTGTCCTCTCAACATGGTCATCACCTCCTCTCCCTCCTCCTCCTCTTCATCTCATGGTCATGATCAGCCTGTTTCTATTAAGCACTTACCACATGAGGCCCTGGACTGAGTCTTACAATGAGAACTTCCGTGCTCTTCACTCAGCACCGCCATCATGGTTTGTTCCTTGTTAATTCGTTCTTCAGCAACAACTTAAGGCCCGGCCCTGTGCGAAGTGCTGAAACACAGTGGGGAGCAAAGCAGCAGAGGCACGCATCGCCTCGGTGGCTGTCTTTGGGCAACGTCCATTCTCTCTGAGGAGATGAGACGTCTAGGTGCACGGTGATTAGAAGCCACAACAAGACAGTCTGATCAGGGCCGTGGCATAGAAAGACCAGCCTGAAGGTTCTCTAGGCCCCAGTGGGGAGAAGCTGGGAGTGGACCAGGTCAAGAGGCCCTTAAGAGTGTCAGAAGCAGCGGTCACTAATCACCAGCTAGGGCTCCCTCAGCCAGCCTGCAGCACCACTGCCAGGACCCCATCATGTGCGATCTCAGGGCCATTTGGCTCTCTCCAGTTCTGTCGATAAAACAATGAAGCCATTTTCTCATTGTGGAGGGTTTTCCTTTTTTCAGGGAACTTTACAAAAATAAGAAGAGAAAAATCAACATCCTACTCCATCCCCACCCCCAGCATGGCTAGGAAATGGATGTGTTCACGGAGCAAAGATTCCTCTGCTTGGCGTAACTCATGTCCAGCCACAGACTACCTCAGCAGCCGCCACTGGTCCACAGACCCCATTCCATTTACCCAACCCCCTCTGGCTTTAGTCGGGCCAGGTTATGGAGACCCACCTAAGGTTGATTTGGGCTGGCACCACCACTAGGCTGGGTGAACCCAAGTCCAGGCTGCCCCCCACAACGAGATCCCAGCCTTATTTCCTATCTGCAGCCGCCCTGGCCCCTCCTTCCCTAGGCCCCCAGACTCTCCTCCTAGCTTCAGGCCATCTTGCACTGACCTGGGCATTGCTTCCTTGGCCTGATCTGGCAGGGCCTGAGGCTTGGGACCCTGGACATCCAGCTTCGGCCCTGTGTCCTGTCCTCTGTCCAGTTAAGGCTGCTGCTGTTCTCGGAGGAGGCTCTGCTTCTTCCCCTGCTGCCCTAGGCCTGTGGCTGGGACATGATCTAGGCTCTTTGCAGTATACTGGATTGCTTCCCTAGCCTTTAAACTCCTTTTCCTTTGACACCTAGGATAACATATAACAAGGGTAACTCGCACCGTCAGCAGCCTCACGGAGGGGTGGGAGGGTGCGGGTGGAGGGAAGGCATCTTCAGGCTCGGTGCGAGGGGACAGGGCACAGAACGGCTGTGCTGAGGGGAAAGCAGTGCTCTTCTGCTCTCTGCCCAGCTCCCTAGAGATGACCTGCTACGACAGCGATGACGCCAACCCTCGCAGCGTGTCCAGCCTCTCCAACCGCTCATCCCCTCTCTCCTGGCGCTACGGCCAGTCCAGCCCGCGGCTGCAGGCCGGTGACGCGCCTTCCGTGGGTGGGAGCTGCCGCTCTGAGGGGCCACCCGCCTGGTACATGCACGGGGAGCGGGCCCACTACTCCCACACCATGCCCATGCGCAGCCCCAGCAAGCTCAGCCACATCTCCCGCCTGGAGCTGGTCGAGTCCCTGGACTCGGATGAGGTGGACCTCAAGTCCGGCTACATGAGCGACAGTGACCTCATGGGCAAGACTATGACTGAGGATGACGACATCACTACTGGGTAAGCGCTCGGGCCCCTTGGACAGCTGGGGAGGAGGGCTGGGGAGGACGCTGGAAAGACCAGGGCAGTGGGATGCCTTAAAAGCGGAGTGGAACCCAAAAGTGAGGTTTTGGTTTGCTGTGCTGTGACAAAAGGCCTTTTTGTACAGGTTGTGATTGCCTCTGACATTGAATGTGGTTTATTCAAGACTTGGATGTGGTGGGTGGGGCATACATCTGAGGAGCTGATTGGTCAGTGAAGGCACCTCCGTCTCATTGGCCCTGGTGACTATCATTCTGTGGTATGCCCCACCTTCCTCCCTGCCCTGATTCATTGCCCCCAAAAATTGGCCCAGAGAAAACCGTTGTAGCCCACGTTTTCTGCAAACTCTGTGCAGACCCTGGACAACCTAATCTGCTTCCCCATTTGCAAAAAGAGGACAGTAATACCACATCTGTCTACCTGCTAAAAAGAGTAAATTAGAGTATGTAGGTGACGGCACTACTCAAACAGAAAACGGTATCTCTCTGCACTTCCTTTGCCAGGGGTAGGGGTTCCCAGCGCCCGTGACCCCACCTTTCCCCTATGCCCTCAGTCTCTACTCCTCGGGTTTCTTCCTCTGCAGACCATCTACCCATAATGCAACTTCGTAATCCCTACCCCAGTCTTAAACCCTTCTCTCCTGCCCTTTGCCCCACAGGGACCCTCGTCTTATCTTTTTCTGCTTTGATTAACGTGGTGGGCCTATGGAGACAACTTGGATGGAGGTGACAGTCTGGAAAGTGAGGGGAGAGGATAGGAAGAGTGATGGGCTGGGGCGTTGGAGTCCAGGCCAACTCTTCCAAGCCCTGAGACCAGAGAGCTGCAGTGGTTCTGGAAGCTTCTCTCAGCTGACTGCCACTTTCCCTTCTTCGTTTGCTCAGACCCCCCCAAGGGACCACACAAGTATCAGCAGCATCCCTTCCCCTACCTCTCAGGGACTTAATGTCTTACTACCAGGGGCTGCCTCTCTCCGGTAAAAATCTCAAACTTCAAGGGAAGGGAAAGTAAGTAGCCTTTCCCGGGAAAAGCCTGACAGCTGAGCTCCAGGCCATCCTCTGTCCCCCACCCCCATCTCCACCTCTGGGGATAAACTTGGAGGGTCTGGTTAGGACCTGTCCAGCTGATGAGGCTGCTCTGAATCAAAACAACTGACTCATGAATGGGGTTGTTTACTGCCTGTTAAATCCCAGGGGCCAGCCCGACCTCACGCTTAGATCCGCCAGCCTGGAGCTGGGGCCAGAGAGAAGTCATCCAGTACACAACCCTGAGATCCTTCTGTGGTCAGAGGGCTGCGCTGGGCAGGAAGGAGAGCCAAGATGTCTGAGGAGCTGCTCCACACAGCCTCTGCCCTAGGAAGCTCCTCTGTGGAAGTGTCAAGTCCCTGCCCTCTGAGAGCTCCCATCAGGATAGGGCAGAGGGGGGCACAACCTCTGAGAGGCAAAGGCTCAGCAAGTTCCTCATGTGTTGGAAGGACCATGGCCCCAGCCCTAGGGAGCTTCCAGTCTGATGGAAGTGACAGGACCCCTGCGCTCAAGGAGCCCCCATACTGATGGAGAAGAGGGCCTTCTGAGAACCCCACCCCCCACTGCCCACCTGATGGCTGTGGCAGAAAATTCCCAAGGTGTTGGAAGGCACAGGACTCCTGCCTTGGAGAGGTCCCAGTCTGAGGAAGGTGGCAGGAATTCTGGCACTTAATTATCTGTATGAGCTTGGGCAAGTTAGTTAACCTCACTGGGCTTTAAATTGTCCATCTGCTCAATGCAGATAATAGTAGAACCTATCTCAGGGCCATTCTGAGGATTAAATAGGTTAATACATGTAAAGCACTTAGAATAATTCCTGGCTCATTGTAAATGCTCATTAAACTTTAGGTGGTGCTGTTGTTGTTCTTGTTGTTGTTAGAGTCCCACACTGTTGGGGAGCCGCAGCCCTTGGGCTCTGCGAGTGTGTAGTCTGACCAGAGTGCCAATCACTCAGAATCAGCAGCAAGTTCAGATCTAGTAGCAGCTGGCCAATCCCAGGGACATAGATTGTGGAGTGTGGGGCCATGGAATGCACGGGGTGGAGGGAGCAGGAAAGACTTCCTTTATCCACCTTCTAGCACCCTTTCTTTTTTTTTCTCTTCCAAATTTTATTTTATTTTGTCAATATACAATGTGATTGATTATTGTGGCCAATTACCGAAACCTCCCTCCCCCTCCCTCCCAACAGTGTCCTTTCTGTTTGCTTGTATCAACTTCAAGGAATTGTAATTATTGTGTCTTCTTCCTTCCCCCACTCCCCCGGTTTTTTGTGTATTTATTTATATATTTTTAGGTCCCACAAATAAGTGACAACATGTGGTATTTCTCTTTCTGTGTCTGACTCATTTCACTTAATATAATTCTCTCTAGGTCCATCCATATCATTACAAATGGCAGTATTTCATTCTTTTTTATAGCTGAGTAGTATTCCATTGTGTAGATATACCACATTTTCCATATCTACTCATCTGATGATGGACATCTGTCTGGTTCCAACTCTTGGCTATTGTAAAGAGTGTTGCAATGAACATTGGGGAACAGGTATAC